GGAGGAAGCATTTAAGAACTAGAGGAAAGTTGTATGTTTCATCGTTGCTACACTGCACCCTGACTGGCTCATCTCCTCCCCCAGGCCCTTCTGTAAGGAGATGTCCATTTGACATATGTGTTCTTAACAACTGAAAGCATGCGTTTTAAAATTTGGCTTTTAAGTGTAGTGATTGTGTATAATCAGTTATCCTTCTTATGGTTGTGGTTCTTAATTCTTTTCTTAGGTACTTTTTTGGTACTCATAAAAGCATAAGCAAAAAGTACAGAATATATATATTTAAATATTTATTTTATTTTTTAACCATATTATTGGTTAAATCAAACCATATAGTTCACACACCATACAAATCAATAGTTTATCTATTTTAAAAAGTTGTGTGATCAAAAAAAAAAGTTGTGTGATCATCACTAAAATCAATTTTAGATACTTTTCTTCATACTTGTATTCATTATTGTTAGCTCCTCTTTTCCTCCCAATCTCCCCTGTCATAACCCTTAGAAATTATTATTCCAGCTGTCATCTATATATGTTTACCTATCCTAGATTTCATATTTTAAGAATCACACAAAAAAACCTACCCTGGATTTATCTATCCTGCTCCCCAACAATAACAACAAAATAAAAGCAGAATAAACCTTGCTAAAAAAGACAGTTGAAAACTCAGACAAATTGAAACAGGTCAAACGGGAAAAGAAATGGTAAGGTGTTAAGTTGTAACTAATGATACTTTTAGTAATCTACTTTCCAGTACACTTTGAGGACAGGACAGTTTATATTCCTGGTCAATGGGCTGAGGGAATTCAATGGAAGCTTTATCCTTGTGGGAAATCCTTAAATGGATTTTGGGCTACCTTCTGCAATCTTGGTGTTCAGAATTCAAGTTCTAATACAATTCCTTTTTCTACTTATGGTTGACATAGGCTGTTGTGCTCCTTCTCTATGCACTTAGTTGACACTTCACTTAGATGGTGGCTTTTTATTCTTTTTTGTTAATCGTTTTATTAGGGGCTCATACAACTCTTATCACAATCCATCAATT